TTTTTTTTGAGATGGAGTCTTGCTCTCTCACCCGTGATGGAGTGCAGCGGCGCGATCTCAGCTCACTGCAACCTCCACCTCCCGGGTTTAGGCGATTCTCCTGCCTCAGCCTCCCAAGTAGCTGGGATTACAGGCATGCGCCACCACACCCGGCTAATTTTTGTGTTTTTAGTAGAGACGGGGCTTCACCATGTTGGCCAGGCTGGTCTCGAACTCCTGACCTCAGGTGATCTTCCCACCTCGGCCTCCCAAAGTGCTGGGATTAAGGTGTGAGCCACCGCACCCAGCTCCTCTGAACTTTCAAGCCCCTGTCCACCTGCCCTTCCCCTTCCCCTTCCCCCACCTCCTACCACCCCAGGCCCCCAGGCCACATCCCTCTGTCCCCACCTTGGCCCCAGACTGTTCTAGGGCCTCCTCCTTTCCTCCAGTCCCCACATCAGCAATGGGCCAACATTACCTATTCCTGCACTCAGGCTTCCCTGAAAGCTGTGCATATGTTCTAGAATCCCAGTCGTGTTACCACTCTGACCAGGCACTTATACGTCCTTCCCGGTACGTGTTCTGCCTTGTTAGCCAGATGGGACCCCCCAGATGTCCCTCCTAGGGCAGGACAGCCTTGCTGCTCAGACCTGGAGGAAGGGTCCGGATATTCACCTTCTGTCCACCCTGGGCTATAAGGGAGGCCCTTGCTGAGCTGGGAACTCAAGTGGAGAAGGAGCACACTCACATTACCACCCTCTGGTTTGGGAGTGGGTGAGAGGTGATTGCAAACACTCAGGAAACCATCCCTTCCCCTCTCAGCAGAAGCATTCACCTGAAGGCTGAGTCTGGGGGATCGGAAGCGCCACAGCCTGAGCTGGCACAGCAGCAGCCACCCCTGAGGCAGGACCCTGTGTCCTCACTCACAGGTTAGGGGGGCGCCGAGATACTGGATAGGTTTCTCTTTCCCCAGGGAGACGGATGGCTCTTCAACAGATAGGAGGGTGAGTGTGGTTGGTTCTGTCGATGGATGGGTGGGTGGAAGGATGCATGGATGGATGGATGGATGGATGGGTGGGTGGGGGGTGGATGGTGGATGGATGGATGCATGAATGGGTTGATGAATGGGTAGATGAATGGGTGAGTGGATGGGTAGGCAGATGGGTGAATGGGTAAATGGATCAGTGGATGGGTGGGTGATGGGTGGATGGAGGGGTAAATGGATCAGTGGATGGGTAGATGGATAGATGGATGGGTGGATGGGTAGGTGGGTGGATGGATGGATGCATGAATGGGTGGATTAATAGGTAGATAAATGGGTGAGTGGATGGATAGGTGGATAGGTTAATGGATGGATGGGTGGATGGATGGATGGGTAAATGGATCAGTGGGTGGATGGATGGATGGATGGATGGATGATGGATGGATGGGTGGGTGGGTGGGTGAATGTGTGGGTTGGTGGGTGGATGGGTGGGTGGATGGATGGATGGATGGGTGGGTTGGTGAATGGATGATGGATGGATGGAAGAACAGATGAGTGGACAGATGGATGGGTGGATGTGTGGGTGGATGGGCAGGTGAATGGGTGAGTGGGTGAATGGATTGGTGGGTAGGTGGATGGATGGTTCTGTGGGTGGTTTTGAGGTGGGTGGTTAAGTGGATGGATGAGTGGCCAAGTGCGTGAATGAACGGGCTTACTGAAGCCTGGCTCAAAACTGCTTCTGAAAGGAAGTTTCTAAATCTCTGAAATGTGAGGGCCTGGCACCCCCCAGAGGTCAAAGTCTCTAACTGCCCATCTCTCCTAAAGCCCTGGGCACCAACACTTCTGACAACCATGGGCAAGCACCTAGAGAAAGCTAAGGATTCTGAGAAACAAAAAATCTAGAGAGCCAGTCCTGGCTCCACCCTCAACAGACTGTGACCTTGGGAAAGTTCAACCTTCGGAGGCTCAATTTTCTCGGCTATAAATGGTGCTGGTCAAACCTGATGCCATGTTGCTAGGAGATTTAAACCAAATTATGAGTAAATTGTCTGAGATGGTTGATATCTGGCCCATAGAAGATGCTGACAGAATGTGATTTCCTTCCCAGAGGACGGCCCTGGGCTCACATGCACGCACACACGTGCACATCACTCGCGCAACGCGTCTCCAGCCCATTAGGGAGGAGGGAGTGAGACCGTAGGCCAGGCCAGACCGGGAGAGGCAGCTGAGGATACATTTATTCTCTGGGAGTTCCTTGCTCTGGCAAAACTGGTCCAGACTCTGAGGCCAAGGACCCAGACAGTGAAGGCAGCAAGGAAGACTCCGAGGCCTCCTGGGGTTCAACCTCCTGGGCCTGGGCCAGCTGGGTGGTGTGCTCAAAGGCAGCCTGCAGCAGGTGGGAGGCCAGGCAGGTGGTCCAGGTGATGAGATAGGCCAGGTGCCAGGAGGCGAGCGCAGTCATAGTCTCCACCCACCAATACAGGCGTCTCAGCTGCGCCAGGAGCTCCCTCACCAGCCAGTTCACTTGCAAGGCCTGGAACGGGGAGACAGGTGGACAGATGGCCCTTACCAGCCCATGGGCTCAAACTGCTTGGCTCTGCCCGCCCCCCAGCCCAGCCAGCCCTGGCCACACCCAGCACCCCAGGCCTCCCCTCCACAGCCCAGCCGCACCCCTAGACCACCCACCTTACTGAGCTGCCAGCCCAGTTGGGAGCAGCAGGCCTTCTGACACACCCTCCAAGCGACTACCACCAGCAGCAAGGCCACCAGCATCAGGCCACGCAGACACAACGAAAGCAGGTCCGTCCAGATGGCCACAGACAGGCCCAGCCCCTCCCAGGCACCCAGCAAGGCCAGGCCCAGCGCCCTGGTGCCGCCCCGAATGCCAGCCCACATCAGCCTGGGTCCCTGCAGTACCAGCCAGACAGGGACCTGTGTCAGAGCCAGCCCAGCCTGGAGAGCCTGGCCCAGGGGGCAGGCTGCAACTCCCAGGGGTAGGTGGGCCTGCCGGTTACAGGTCCCCCCTGCCTCCTGGGCCAGCCCCGACACCCAGTGGTTGAAGAGGTTGATCTTGAGGAGCAGGAAATTGTAGAGGTGATCTCGGTTCTGAACCAACTGCAGGAGAAGAGACAGAGAGAGTCGTCAGCCATCATCACCCTCCTGGGGCAGGGACCCCACTTTTTTTTTCAATAATTCTCTCTTTTTTTTTTTTTTTTCCCAAGATGGAGTTTCGCTCTGTCACTCAGGCTGGAGTGCAATGGCGCCATCTCAGCCCACTGCAACCTCCAACTCCCGGGTTTAAGCAATTTTCTTGCCTCAGCCTCCCAAGTAGCTGGGATTACAAGCACCTGCCACCACGCCCGGATAACTCTTTTTGCAGTTTTAGTAGAGAAAGGCTTTCTCCATGTTGGCCAGTCTCGTTCAAACTCCTGACCTCAGGTGATTTGCCCGCATCAGCCTCCCAAAATGCTGGGATTACAGGCGTGAGCCACCACGCCGGGCCAGGAGCCCCACTTTCACTGCAGAGGTGAAGCTGCTGGACCACCTTGAGCCAGATCTCCACCCCAAGGCCTCAGCTCCCTCCATGTGCGAGGATGAACTCTGCCCACTTTTAAGGACCCCATTCTGAGGGGGAGTTTTAGAAGGTGTTTCCTATTATATTTGGATTCCCTTCCATTGGATTTTTCTTTTTTTAAGAAACAGGATCTCGGCCGGGCACAGTGGCTCACGCCTCTAATCTCAGCACTTTGGGAGGCCAAGGCAGGTGGATCACAAGGTCAGGAATTCAAGACCACCCTGGCCAAGATGGTGAAGCCCCCATCTCTACTAGAAATACAAAGATTAGCCAGGTGTGGTGGCAGACACCTGTAATCCCAGCTACTCGGGAGGCTGAGGCAGAAAACTGCTTAAACCCAGGAGGCGGAGGTTTCAGTAAGCCGAGATGGCACCACTGCACTCCAGCCTGGGTGACAGAACACACAACAAGACTCCATCTCAAAACAAACAAAAATAACTAGCCGGTCATCATGGTGCCTATAATCCCAGCTACTCAGGAGGCTGAGGCAGGACAGTCACTTGAACCCAGGAGGCGGAGGCTGCAGTGAGCTGAGATCGCACCACTGCACTCCAGCCTGGGCAACAGAGTGAGACTCCATCTCAAAAAAAAAAAAAAAAAATGGGAAAAACAAGGAATCACCCATAGGAGTGACCCTCAACAGAGAAAATTCCACCAGATGCAGTGGCTCACGCCTATAACCCAACACCTTGGGGAGCTGAGGTGGGAGGATCATGTGAGGCCAGGAGTTGGAGACCAGCCTGGGCATCATAGTGAGACACTGTCTCTACAAAATACAAAAATTAGTCAGGCGTGGTAAGGCACACCTATAGTCCCAGCTACTTGGAGGCTGAGTGGGGAGGAATACTTGAGCCCGGGAGTTGGAGGCTGTAGTGAGCTGAGATGGCACCACTGCATCCAGCCTGGGTCACACAGCAAGACGCTGTCTCCAAATAAATAAAAGAAAAGAAAATTTCAGCACTGAAGCTTGGGGTGGGGTTTCTGGGAGCTGTCAGATTATTCTGGAAGGCAGGCAGCCCACCTAGTTCCACTGAACAGGACAGGCAGGGCTTGGGTCCGGCAGCTCTGAGGTGGCTTTGTAAAGGGCCTGGTGTGTGGTCTCCACCCCACCTACCCCTACCGCCCACTCACCAGTACTGAGAGCCTCACGGCCTGCAAGAGAATCCCCAAAAGGCTGGATCTGACTGGAGGAATGGTCTCCATGTCTGGCCTCCCCCTCCTCCTCCAGATGGGAGAAGCAGGATGACCTCACAGATGCCACAGGGCGGGGGCCAAGTTACTATGGTGACCCAGTTGCCACAAGAGACCACCCCCGCCTCATTTACCTGGCTCCGGCCACTCTACTGCTTCCTCAGAAACCTCAGTCCAAGTCTGACCCCAACACGGCCAAGAAGGTCTTTGAGCAAAGCTTTCTTTGGGTCAGATTTCTCCAGATCTTGGAACGGGAATTCAAGTGCCACCTAGGAATGAGTTCATGTCTGTAATCCCAAGGCTTTGGGAGGCCAAGGTAGGAGGATCACTTGAGGCCAGGAGTTTCAGACCAGCATGGGCAACATAGCAAGACCCTATCTCTACAAAAAAAAAAAAAAAAAAATGGAAAGAAATAGCCAGCTGCGGTGGTGCGCCCCTGAAGTCCCACCTACTCAGGAGGCTAAGGTGGGAGAATCACTTGAGCCCAGAAGATAGAGGCTGCAGTGAGCCAGGATCACTCCAGCCTGGGTGACAGAGCAAGATCCTATCTCTAAATACAGAAAAAAAATTGAAGTCCAAGGAGTTTATATGGGGCATGGGCCCTGCAAGCATCCATAGGGAAGAGAAAGTGAGGCAAGGACAGATGTGTTCATGAGCAGCGTTTGAGCTCAGGCAGCTAGAGCCGATCCCCAGGATCCAGAACAAAAACACCCCAGGCATGTGATGATGGAGCCTTGACCAGGGCCGAGGCCCTGGGAATGGAGTCAACAGACGCCAGAAATCTGTCGCCAGTACAACAGATAGAATCGGAGGATGTCAAGACCCATGATGATCTGAGACGTTGCCCACTTGCGTGCTAACAAGTTATCCAGCAGAGCTCCATGGCTGCCACAAGACGACCCGAGACTCCCGGGTCAGAGAGCAGAGACAATGTTACTCACGGCAATAGCAGTGAACCAGAGTGTAAGCATTTCGCATTCATTCCCTGAGCCCCAAATCCCATAGAGTGATGTGACAAGGCCCAATGATGCCTGCAGCCCCCCAGGTGGGTGTGTTACAAGAGAGGAAGAGGAAGTCTGAGCTTAGGGAACCCAAATCTTTTCTTTTCTCTTTGCTTTTCTTTTCAGATGTAGCCTTGCTCTGTCACCCAGCGCAGTGGTGCAATCTTGGCTCACCACAACCTCCACCTCCCAGGTTCAAGTGATTCTCCTGCCTCAGCCTCCCAAGTAGCTGGGATGATAGGCACCTACCACCATGCCCAGCTAATTTTTTTGTATTTTTAGTAGAGAGGGGATTTTTCCATGTTGGCCAGGCTGGTTTTGAACTCCTGACCTCAGGTAATTCACCTGCCTCAGCCTCCCAAAGTGCTGAGATTACAGGTGTGAGCCCACTGCATCGGCCTTTTTTTCTTTCTTTTTCTTTTTTTTTTTTTTTTTTTTTTTTTTTTTTTTTTTTTTTTTTTTTGCGATGGATTACAGGCATGAGTCACCACGCCTGGCCAGGAAACCCGAATCTTTTCTAATGAGCAGTAAGCAGCGCTGCCTTTTGCCCCAGATGGAGATGCTATATCTTTCAAGATTGTCTGATACACAGACATCCTGGAAAAGAAAGTCCAGGGCAAAAGGCCATCCATTAGTGCCTCACTCACAAGACATACAGAAACATGAAGGACGCATAGAGATTTGCATCCCAACAGAGGAATGAACAGGAAAAGACGTAAAGTGAGACAGGGGCCAGCGATACCGCCCCCCATCAGAAGACTCAAGTGAAGGGCAGATGGTAGGGCTGCCCACCAAGTGGGGGCGGGGAAGAGAGGAGTAGGTTTGAGGAGAGAGGAAGCCTGGGCAATATAATAAGACCCCATCTTTACACAAAAATTCAAAAATTAGCCGGACATGGTGGCACATGCCTGTAGTCCCGGCTACTCAGGAGGCTGAGGCAGAAGGATCGCTTGAACCCATGAGGTTGAGTGTGCAGTGAGCCGTGATTGCGCCACTGCACTCCAGCCTGGGTGTCAAAGTAGGATCCTGTCCAAGAAAAAGAAAGAAATGAATAATGGCCCCACCCACCAGGTTGCACCTGAAGGCAGCAGGACCGCCTGTGGGAGGAGCCTCCAATGTAGATCAATCAACTGGGAGCCTTGAACCCTCGGTCCAAAGCTTCCCGCCCGCCCGCGCCCTTCTCTTTCTTACTCAGCACCAGGTTCAAGGCCATCCGTGCACTACTGCTCTCTGTGGCCTTGGAGTTTCACTTTGCAGGGTAGCAGGCAGGCCAGAAACCCCAGTTATCAGTAGCCTCTTGCCTTGCACAACGCCAGGGGGCGCCCTTCACCGACCTCTGCCCTTCTCCGCCCCAGGACCCAGGGTCAGAAGAGAAGCAGGAAGCAGCCCGGGTGCCCATCGGCTCTCTGGTGCCCCCTGAGGGCGCAGGACTGCAGCACGGCCGCGCGGGGGCAGCAGACACCGGGGCGCGCCCTGGCGCCCCGCGCGAGTGGGTGCAGAGTTCCCAGTGACTCGCTTGTCCCCGGGGCCTGCGAGGTCGGTTTCCCAGTAACAGCAACGTCACGCCACCCCCAGGAGCTCGCCCTGTGCAGGTCCCGTCATGCCTGGGTTGCTGGAGGCAAAACCACAGAGAAATTATAAGGACCAAAATCTTCTTTGTTCCATGTTCCTAAGTTAAAACTTCATCTTGTTTCAAATCTTCACTTTTTTTTTTTTTTTTTTTTGCCAAAAACTACACAAAAAGAATGTGCCTGTATACTTATTGGAGCTTGGTATTTCTTCTTTCTTTTTGTTTGTCGTTGGAAAAAGAAAAGAAAAAACAGCCGGGTACTGTGGCTCACTCCTGTAATCCCAGCGCTTTGGGAGACTGAGTCGGGTGGATCACAGGGTCAGGCCAACATGGTGAAACCCCTTCTCTACTAAAAGTACAAAAATTAGCCAGGCATGGTGGCGTGTGCCTGTAATCTCAGCTACTAGGTAGGCTGAGGCAGGATGATCCCTTGAACCTGAGAGGCGGAGGTTGCAGTTAGCCGAGATTTCGCCACTGCACTCCAGCCTGGCAACAGAGAAGAGACGCTGCCACAAAAAAAAAAAATTTAAGAGGGGGATCTTGCTCTGTTGCCCAGGCTGTTCTTGAACCTTGGCTTTAAATGATCCTCCTGCCTCAGCCTCCTGAGTAGGTGGGCTACAGCCATGTGCATCACACCTGGCTACTTTTTATTGTTATTATGAATTATTTGTGTCGAGATGGGGTCTCACTGGGTTGCCCAGGCTTGTCTCAAACTCCCGGGCTCAAGAGATCCTCCCACCTCAGCCTCCCAAAGTACTGGGATTACAGGTGTGAGCCACCACTCCTGGCCTGCATTTTTTCTTTCTAAAGATGGTTTTATCCAAGCCACTTACATTCAAAAATAATGATTACAAAGCAATGAAAGGGGGGCAGGGCAAAATAAATAAATAAATAAATAAATAAATAAATAAATAAAAATAATAAAAGCAATGAAAGTGGCCGGGCGCAGAGGCTGACTTCTGTAATCCCAGCACTTTGGGAAGCCGAGACAGGCAGATCATGAGATCAAGAGTTCGAGACCATCCTGGCCAATGTGGTGAAACCCCGTCTCTACTAAAAATACAAAAATTAGCTGGGCATGGTGGTGCACACCTGCATGCTCAGCTACTCAGGAGGCTGAGACAGGAGAATTGCTTGAACCCAGGAAGCTGAGGTTGCAACTGAGCTGAGATGGCGCCACTGCACTGCAGCCTGGGGGATAGAGCAAGACTCCATCTCAGAAAAAGAAAAATAAAATATAATACAGCAATGAAAGTATGAAGGACTGTATCCTGGTTAAAGAAACTGATGGGAGATGGCAGACTTATGAACAGAGCTGGTACAATTCCATAACCTTGATGAGTTTTTGCCCCAATTGTCCTTATCTGTAAAAGTAGAAAATACTTAGAAGCAGGGAAAGTTGTGGGGAGAAACCAGTGAAATCCGGTCGCTGTTGGGCCTTTGACGGCTTGCGGGAGCAGATGAGTAATGAAGTCGGTATCTGTGAAAGAAAAGGAATTCAAGAATTTTTAAAAACAAAATACGCGACAAATGGGTCGAAATTGCTTTCAAGTGAGTGTAAATTTGTAAAAATAAACCAGCCAGGGTGCAAAAGCTGTATTAGTTCACAAACCAATGTGTGGAAATCATTATTGCAACCAAGCTGTTTTCAGGCAATTCACTTGGAAACCCAACATGATTTTGAAATTTAAAGTTTAAAAAACCCACTGCCAAATGCAAAGAAAAACCTTGGCTATCTTAAAATTAATTCAAATTTTTTTAAATAAAAACAAATGGAAATACTTTAAAAACATTTATTTTTTAGTTTTTTTTTTTTTTTTTCAGCCGACACCAAGGATGATTTTTTTTAAAAAAACGTTTTTACACTTTGGAAGGCCAAGGCAGGAGGATTATGAGGTCAAGAGATAGAGACCAGCCTCGCCAACATGGTGAAACCTGTCTTTACTAAAAATACAAAAATTAGCCAGGCACAATGGTGGGCGCCTGTAGTCCCAGCTACTCAGGAGGCTGAGGCCGGAGAATCGCTTGAACCCAGGAGGTGGAGGTTGCAGTGAACCAAGGTCGCGCCACTGCACTCCAGCCTGGTGACAGAGTGAGACTATGTCTCAAAAAAAAAAAAAAAAAAATGTTTTTAAGGGATGTAAAGTTGTCAAACCATCTCATGGTTCAAAATTATTATTCATCCCCAAATAAAAGTGCCGATAAATGGGCAAAATAGCATACATACAGGCCCGATGCAGTGGCTCACACCTGTAACCTCAGCACTTTGGGAGGCTGAGGCAGGAGGATCGCTTAAGCCTAGGAGTTCAAAGCCAGCCTGAGCAACATAACAAGACCCCTGCCTCTACCAAAAAAAAATAAAATAAAATACAAGAAACAGAAGTGATAGTGTGCACCTGTAGTCCCGGCTGCTCAGGAGGCTGTGGTGGGAGGATCGTTTAAGCCTAAGAGGTTGAGGCTGCAGTGAGCTGTGACGGTGTCACTGTACTCCAGCCTGGGTGACAGGGCAAGACATTGTCTCAAAAATACATTTAAAAATAATCAACATCTTAAAAACCAGCAATGGGAATGATTCATAACAGTCACTCCTTCTTTCTCTACTTGCTCTTTTTATTTTTGTTTGTTTTGTTTGGAGACAGAGTCTCGCTCTGTCACCCAGGCTGGAGTGCAGTGGAATGATCTCGGCTCACTGCAGCCTCTGCCTCCCAGATTCAAGGGATTCTCCCAAGTCAGCCTCCCAAGTACCTGAACAAAAATTATCTGGGCATGGTGA